TCCTCGAGAGCCTGACGAAGCTGATCTTCGGTATATTGAGGCATTATATATAGAAGAAGACATGTGCAAAAGATGAGCCCATTTGGACGCGAATTGAAAATGTTGTGATAAAAGGAGGTTGGGGGTGGGCATTGGGTTGTGGTGGATTTTCGCGTTTTTGTGGGTGCCAGAAACAGGGGGGTGCCAGGAAGTGGGTATGTTGACTTATTTGACGCAACGACGAGAGTGAACATAAGAATGTATGCGGGCCTCCGACCACCTTGATCGGCGATATCGCCCATGAAGGCCGGTGCGATGCCCGCTATTATCAGATATGAGGTGACGGTGAGATTGATCAGCGCAACCGAGACGTTGAGATCAACAGCCATAGGGACTAAAGCTGGAAAGTAGATGTAACTGCTCAAGGTGGAGAACATGGCGCCGAGGGAAGCAACATAGCTAATCCACCTCTTCTCGCTAGTTGTGAATATTGAATGCGGCTCTTCTGGCGCTATTTCGACGAACGGCGCTATTTCTTTGTCGTCGTTGGGGGTTTGCTTGACTGGCATTTCTGATGACTCGGTGGCAGCCATCTTGAATGCTGTAGATGATGTAAAGACCGCTTCTTGTGGCTAATCGTGATGAATGGATTGAAAAAGAATTCTAACTGACCCGGAATCATTTATTTCAGTCTTCTGTGCATGTTTTTTGGCGTTTCATGCAAAGAAATATTAGTACAATAGGGGAGGTTGACCTCTGCTCAAACAACCCCCATCGCACTTATCTTATTCAAAGAGAGCCGCTTTAGCCTATGGGGACTGACGAATTCGGTAATTATACGTCAGGTGACAAGGAAAATGGTGGTTGGCATTAATTACGTCAACGTGCTGCAAAGCGATGGCACAGTTCTCGAGACTCTACGGATGCTACCCTGGCAAACGTAACACATAAGTCCATTGCATATAGTGGGAATTATGACGATTCATTCAATAGAAAGAGCACAATTTACTGCCTCCCGAAAATTTATATCGGTATCCTTTCCTCGAACTCCAAAAACCCGTGAAATATCATCAAATGCTCCCCTCTTCCGAACGCAATCGCTGTCTTTGAAACAATCTTGATCACGGCATCAGCCTCACTACGCCATGTTAGTGGTATAAAAAAGTGTCGCGTGAAATGTTGCGCATCTGCCATGTAGTTGAGGCTCATTGAGCAAATCCATCCGGCTGTATCGAGGAAAAGCAGACTCGATTTAATACATCCAATCACTGATTGTAGAGACGTAGATGTAATATGTAAACTCCGAGTCGGAATCACCTCTGTTGAGGGTGTAATCTTGGAAGCTTCGACGGCGATAATGCCGCTAGTTAGCTCCGTCGCGTTGAAAAGGCCCTGGGCTAAGTAGCCAGAGCCTTTGCTGCTGATCCATGAAGGACAACCCTTTGTAACTTGGATTTGGGGGCTCGGAGATAGGTTGATTCCCTTGCACACTCTCTTCAGATTACACCATTCATAGATATGAAAATGGCTGTCTCGAAAGGCGAGTAGATGGGAAGAATTCGATGGATGTTTCAACCACCAGGCTCCCTTGAGATCCTTCTCCTCTCCCATGACAGTGCCGTTGAGAGCAATTAACGTCGCACTTGAATGTGTACAGACCAGCAGTGATTCGGTTTTTGGACTCAGGATTATCTGAGATGTATCACTATCACCTCTGCGGTTGAGCAAACAAGTAAGTTGTGCTCCAGGTCCACTCCCCAGGGAAGTAACTCTGGTGACAATGTGACGCCAAGTAGTGTCGATACTGAGAAGCGTACACGTGTCTTCGTTCCAGTCTAATGATTTTATCTCTGCAAATGCATCGTGAATCCGGAGCTTCTCGACCATCTCGCCGGTGGTCAGATCACTGACATCAATTGTGCCATCCTGGCGCCCGACGAGTAACATGTCGTTGGCTGGCTCGATGGCCGTGATGCTTTCTCCCCACTGATACACATGAGAACGGGATGCTTTTATTTCCGGAAGGGCAACTTCTTCTCTGGAACATGAAATTTCTAGGGAGTCGTCATCGTACTCCTCTTTGGAAAGGAGGATAATCGGCTCCCAGACGTTGCAGCATTGCCCCCGGATGTCGTAAAAACGGAGATTATCTGCTGAAAATGCGATATCTCTGATTCTTAGTTGATCTCCTGGTAGTTGAATGTGGTAAATTGGCTGCAAGGTCTCAAAGAGGAAAAGGTAGATGCCTCCGTCCTCTGCAGCACCTACGAGAACCCTGCCATCGGAGCTAGTGGATAGAGCAGATAGCAATGTTTGCAGGTGATACTTGTTTGCTTGGTCTTGTGTCCATGGATTACAAGTTACCACGTCGCCGTCCATGTATGATATTGCTAGCAGCTCGACCTCAGCAATTGGATTGAACACCATGTCCAGAACTTGTGAGGTAGCGTAAACATAGTTGAAATTGTCTTTCTCAAAGTTGCCGACGCAGACAGAAGTATTCAAGTCCCAGATTGAGACTGAAGAATGTCTGTAAGATAACGCTGCAAGCTTGTGGTCCGAGTCGAGTCGTATCTGCATTGCTGGTGTCCATAAACCAAGTTTGTTATCGTTTTCATCCGACGAGTCTGAGTCCCAGACCGAGGGGACATGCAAAAGTTTCCGCTCTGCTTCTTTTCCATCTTTGATATCGTAAATCACCAAAGAGGTACCATGAGGATTGGAAAGAATTATCATTTCTTCGTCATGGTCGAATGAAATTGATCCTGGAGTGAAGTCGATAGTTCGTGACCAAACGGGAGATAGCCTGATAGGTTCTGGAGACCGGTGGGTGTCCCATATTTGTAGGTTTCGAGAACTACATGAGACTAGTACTGAAGAAGCTCGGTTGAAGGCAAGCAGACGAACCCTCTTCCCGTGATTCAATGTAGCAGCTGCATCGAATGCCCCCGACCCAGCAAGGTGGAATAATCTGATCTCTCCGCTGGCAAGACCAACAGCCAGTAGGCGAGTACAGCAGGCGATTGCATACGCCTCTTCTGAGAATATGTATCCTGTCAATCTGTCGTTCCAATCTTCTTCTCTCGGACCAGCAATTCGAAGTCGCTTGGTTGATTTTGCGAAGATCTGCCCAATCATCGACTTGGGAGGGCAGAAGTGCGGGATGAGAAAATGGATTGAAGATGGAGAGGTGAGAAGAATAGAATGGAATACGGCGAGGATGCGGTAGATATCATTTGCCCATGTTGCGATAGTGTGGAACTCCGTGCTGGTAGGAGATTGACATCTGGCTAGGCGGCCCAGGTATGTCTTGAGCCTCTGTGCAGTGAGCTGCAAGGTCCACAGGTTCCCAGCTGTAGCTGTTCGTTGAATCCAGGTCAGGACATTTGTAGTGAAGAACTTTGCTAGGAGGAGAAGCGAAGATCCAGTGGCTGAGGAGGCTTGAGCGAGATGGTAAGGGAAGCTCAGTGCAGCATATTCTGATAGTGGTGAAAGAGAAGGCATCCTGGCCGCTGCGACTCCTCGATGCGTTCTTGGTGGCGCAAAATTCGAACTGCACAGCAGGTCGAGACATGTTTCAGCAATTTCTAAATGCGCTTTCCCAGTGTCGATCCAGAAGCCCTTGTCTCTCTCTTGGCTTAAGAAGGCTGATGTCGTTAGATGGGCGACGCGAATATATGACTGACCATCCACGACAATGAGGTGTCCCGTCATGCTCTCCAGCTCCCTTCCATTGGCTGCTAAAGTCTTCCCGACATCGAGTTTCACAGCCTCGGCTAGCTCGTTGATGTGAAGCGATTTTGGCGAACAAATCGCCCACTTCAACACACATTCGGCCAGCTCAGCGCTAGGTGATTGGGATATCAAATCGAGTGTGCGGGAATAAAGCTCGTCCATCTGCGGCGGAATTTGTCGCAAAACATCTTGCTTGTCTTCTACACTGTATGCATTCTCCAGACGGGCTACTGTGAGGGACGTCCATAAGAAATTGCCATCTGCTTTTGTCAGAACATCGGCGACAAGATTCTGTATGCCATCGTATTGATCAGCATCATATGTCTGAAGAAACATGGCTTCAACAAACACTTCGATGTCTCTAAGCGAACCCTCTTCGCCTGTGACGATCTCCACAAAATCCGTGCGTTCCAGTGTTAAATACCGCCTAACTTGCCCACCAGGTCTGCTGGTAACCAAGACTCGGATGGGTAACGTTTGTTCCATGTGGGACAGCATGGAAATCAAGCCAGGTAGGTCTTCGGAGGAGCATTCGTCAATCGCATCTATAACCCAGAATTGAGGCCGGTCAAATTTTGCTTTGAAAATGCATTCGTTGAAAAGAGTTGCCCAGAGCAAATAGTGATCCTCAAACTTGAGGGTTCTGTTGTCCTCGGCCATAGAAGCCAGAGCCTGGCGCACCTCAAAGTTTGAATCGGCTATTTGGAATGCTAGGGATCTCATCAAAAGGGCTAGAGTGGAGGAAGAAGTTTCCTCGTGCCTGAAGAAGAAGAAGCTGCAGTCAAGGTTGCGAGATTGGAGATGTCGGATTACATGGCCGGCAGCGATAGTCTTCCCGGTCCCGGGGCGGCCATTGAGCCATAAACGCTTAGACTCTAGATCTCTAGAAGGCTCTGACAATGACTCTTTGTCGGCCCAATGACCGATTGGCCCATCGATCCATTTCTGGAATCTATCACTATCTGTCAACCACGTACAGGATCCGAGGTGCTGCTTCTCGTTTATAGCAAGAAGAACTGCGTCCGGCCGTTGGTCAATACACAGGAATGCAGCAATTTTTCGCATTTTGGATTTATGTTCCTGTTGGCTTTGGACTAAAGCTGAAGGAGTGAATATTGATTAGCTTGACAGACAAAGTAATTCTATGGTTCCAAGGATCGGCTCACTGACAGTCCCGATCTCTTCGACTATGGTTTTGAAGGCTCGTTGTAGAGTCAAATAGTTCGGATTGCTTGGCGAATCGAATTTGCACATTTGTCGGTGATCGGCCTCAAGATACTGAACATGTTCTCTCGGTAACCCTGAGGAAGCCAAAAGCTATTGTCAGAAAATGAACAAGGATGACGAACATGCGTAGCTGGACGTGAAAGCATTGCCTACCAAGGACGGCAGATTCCTTTTCGACAATTAAGGATGATTTGGGGCCGAAACTCGTTGGCAAACTCTCAAAGAAAGACCAGAGGTTAATATTGTGGCAAATATGTCTGAATTCGTCGTTGATTTGCTGTGTTGAAGTATGTGAGATATTTGCTTTTAGGCACGTTGAGGAGCCGATGATTTGACTTACATCTAGTGTTCCACTGCCGGGAATCAAATCATCTAGAAACGCCTTTGAGCCATACCCAGCCGACTGACGGACCAATCTCGCGACACTTGCAGAATCAGCTCCGCGATGAGGCGTGCCTAAGAATAACATAGTATGGATCCTCTTCCCGATAGTTTCGTAGTTCGGATCACGCGTGGCTATGAGGTACGCCTGAAGAATATCAGTACGTTGTTACCAGTTCGGGATATGAAGTCCTCTCAGACACACCTTTTTGGCCACCAAGCCACCCATGCTATGAGATATGAACACAATCGGTGTCTAGGTTGGTATTAGCCATGGGCGGTAGATACATGTATGCAGGAGGCTGACTGACATCGCCATTCTTGCGAAGGCAAGGGGAGTTGTGAAGATCGGCAAGCAACGCTTGTCCAAAGTCATGGACTGTTAACCGGCTGTCCTTCCGTGTTGTCCAGTCTGAGTTGTACCCAAAGCTATGAATGCGGACGTGTTTGAAGCCGGCCTCATTTGGCAGCCAGTCTCTAGGCCAAAACATGCCAATATCGGCTGAATGACTCCATGTTTTCCTCGATCCCCCACCCAGACCGTGAATCTGAACAACCAAGTATCAGTCCTGCCACATGGAGTCGTTCCACCTTCCTCAAAAACCTACGAACACAAAGTCGATTGCTGGTTCCGAGGGCGCATGAAGCAAGTTCAGACCGAGGGCTCCCTTTATATCAGCAGCAGAAAGTGATTGAATACTGCATGAGCTGTCGGATCTCGATGACCGAGAGAGACGCGTGCTAAGCTTCCGTAACCGGTGTTGTAGCGGGCCGAAGGATGGCGCACGAACTCGAGTTTCATCACTTCCGAGATTAGGAGAGAGTGACGGCGGCTCAGCAGTGATACCAGCCAGCTGGTACGACGAAAACATTAGCCTCGAGCTACCGAATTAAGCGGGGGATGGAGAACGGGATCTAAGATACTAGCACGGATGAGGGCGCACATACAGATGACGAAGGGCTTTTGTCAATCGACATGGCGCCAGTAACGACCATCAAGACTGCATGTAGAACCAGGATGCCGGAAACTTGGCAATGAACGAGAGAAACAGAGAGTCGCTTCTCATGTTGAGGTTCAAGATACAGCAATTGCGAAGATACCGGCGACTGGACAGGGTCTCTCTTGCCCCCACGTGATTGGGCTCGCGGGAACCACACGCGTAAGGAGCCGGGCGGCTACAGGATGGCGAGGATTGGACCTCTCCCTGGCTACTCCTTTTGTCAGCCACTACCCCGCGTTAGACTCCGAGCCGAACCTAATTAACCAGCTCCTCAACACCTCCACCAAGCATGGAGAGCGGATACCTAGACCAGGCAGAGCATGCAGGCGAAGGCTGTGAGCTTGATGACGCTGTTTTTGCTAGTGTGTACCTTCTTTTCAACCTTGCTAGGTCCGGGTTCGAACTCAGTGTGCTCACGCCTTGACATCATAACAGAGCTTCCAACAGGCTGTAGTGTACTCAAAGTGGCACCATCAGGCCATAGTCTTTGGGTGGCCACGGTTCAGATTGTGGTTCAGCTGGAAGATGGAACCATGAAAGAGTACTTCAAGAAGGTGATTAATGGACTCCCATTTGGACCAAATTAGTTCTCACTCTCGCGTAGGGTGCGCGTGGTGCAATTGGAATGGACATGATGAGAGGCACATTCGAAGCTGAACAGGCTCTATACACCTTTTCTCCAGGCCAGGTCCCAAAGCCCATCGGTTGGGGAACATACACCATCGATCCAAACACGCACTTCTATCTCAGCCAGTTCGTGGAAATGAGAGAAGACCCCCCCAGCCCTGGGGATTGGGCGGCTTCTGTGTGGGATCTCCATGCTAACAGCATGGGGAAAAGCTCAACTAGAAAATTCGGCTTTCATGTCACTACTCATCTTGCCAATGTTCCAGTCAACAACTCGTGGAACTCTTCTTGGGAATCATTCTGGAGACAGCAGATGAAGGGTCTGTTCGACCAGGACGACCGCGTTCATGGCATGGACGATGAGTTGACAGCGCTCAAGATGATATTTCTCCACGAAGTGATCTCGAGATACCTTGCTCCACTTGAAAGAGAAGGACGATCTGTCATGCCCTGCCTCATTCACTCTGATCTATGGCCTGGGAATATCAAGCCGAAGAAATCCTCAAATGGATTATGTGTGTTTGACGCCTGTGCATTTTGGGGACACAACGAGGGTCAGTAATAAGATTTCTCAAGGCTGTAGAGATCCTGTGGTTTCATGGGTTAACCCCGAGGGATTTTCTAGCCGATTTGGGCATCTGCCGAAACCCAAGATACAAGCTTGGTCAACCGTGTATTCGCGAATACCTTAAGCGAATACCTGCAGCTGAGCCCACGGCTGATTTTGACGGTAGAAACGCTGTGTACGCGATGAAGTACCACGCGCTGCTGTCAATCATGTATTGCTTCAAAGACAAAAGTTTCAGACAGACGCTGAAGGACGAGCTCAAGGAGATCATCGGCAAGGCAGCACTATCGATCCCACAAGGAGAAGGAGATGCGTCTGCGTAAATACCAGCCTAGCTGCGTATCCTGGTTTGAACTAGGTAGTAAAACACCAAGTATTCCCTACACGATAGATCATCTGGGCCGGTGTCTGAAATCATTGAGTCAGGGAGCTAAGGCCGGCATATTCCGATAAAAGGCGAGCTCTCCAAATACAAGTCGAGCGTCGTTTCTCTTGACTTGACTCCGAACACGCTGTGTTAACATCAGATGAGGTGCACGATGACAGTCAATGCTCGGGCCGGGCACGGTCTTGTCCCCACGCCGCTAGCATAGCGGAGACGCGTTAGCGAGTGATTAGGCGATAGCCCTCCTGGAAGTTCCCGCTGAAAGACTTTCGTCTCATCCTAATTGAAACCTGCGGCTTTCTTCTTTCAACTCCATCGCAGCTCCTCCGACAACTCATCGAGCTCAATAACCACCATCATGCTTGAGCAGACCCTGCAGGCCATCGGCCTCATCTGGATTCTCTATTCTGCCTACAAGTTCTACGACGCCATTGCGATATGGATTCTTCCTTCTGTGTCACTGAAAAAATATCAGAGGAAGGGCTCATATGAGTCCTGGGCACTCGTGACCGGCGCCTCCGCAGGCATCGGACTGGGATGTGCGCAAGAACTCGCGCTTCAAGGCTTTAATATCGTCTTACTGGGCAACAACGAAGACGAACTGGAGGACGCCCGCGCTCTCATCGAATCGGAGTGTCTCCGTCGACACAAGGACGAGATCGCCGTCCGCATCCTCAAGGTCGATGCCATCACCAGCACACCCGAAAAGGTGCAGGCTGCTGTCGACAACATGGATGACTTGAAAATCACTGTTCTGGTCAACAACGTTGGAGGTGTGTCCGCTCGGCCGCCGGCGATCTGGCATCTGCAAGACTTCACTGGCGAAGAGGTGGACGGCACCATCAACCTCAACGCGCGATTCATGGCACAGTTGACCCGACTTATGCTCCCAATCCTCGCCAAGAATGGTCCTTCTTTGATGCTCAACGTCAGCTCCGGCGGCAGAATGGGAATGCCTGGCGTGGCCGTGTACTCTGGAACTAAGGGTTTTGTTTCTTCCTTCAGCAACGCCATCGCGAGGGAGATGAAAGCCGAAAAGAAGAAGGTCGATGTGCTTTGCCTTGTGGTTGGCGACGTGAAGACGCAGTCGAACGCTGTAGCCATGGCACCGGGTTCACCAGACGGCAGAGAATTCGCCAAGGCCGCCTTGAAGAGAGCGGGCAGAGCAACTCAAAGGGGCATGCTGGAAATGACGCCTTGGTTCAAACATGCAGTCCAGTTGGTACTCTTTGATTGTATGCCTGAGTGGATGCGGATGAAGTTCATGTCTGAGCTGTTCAAGAAGAAGATTGAGGCTCATAAGAAGGGTAAATGAAGACTTCTTCAGTATGTGTCGCTGTTGACTAGTACGACGACTGTGGTCAAGCAGCTAAACACGAAGGATCATACTTAGAATAAAGAATAAGCGGCGTGGGTATAGTCAACAGCTTCAATTCACCGGAAAATACATAAGTCTAAGTTTTCAACATGTAGGTTGTCTTGATCAGAGTCACCTCAACGAGCATATTAGATCAGTGAAAATGGCCTAGCGATCATGTATTGAATTCGTTTCTAGCTAATATTTAAGAGTTTCTCGGGAACTTGAGAAGTCGACGAGGCAGGCATGACCTTTTTGAGGGATGCGAATGCCGAGCACAATAGCCAGCACGCTATGGATGAGTCAATCAAATTCGAAAAGATTCATTATGCTGCTTCGCGTGTTGTCAAATAATCGTTGGCTTGGAATTCCTCAAGGCTAGGGGCAAAATCCCACAGGAGACGCTGGGTCGATGATGCCCAAATCAATGAAAGTTTCATAATTCCAATAATCGCTCTGAGTTCCTTGACCATTGACTGGGTCGGTTCCAGAAAATTTGGCGGTCCAATATGAGCTTCCTTGGGTATACTTGGACCAAGCATAAAGCCCATCATTCAGATTCTTGGCCCGGCTGGCAAAAGTGTTGTTGCTGAGAGCCTGAATCGACCACTCGCCGATGAAGACGGGAAATTTCCCATCGCTGATAGACCCCTTGGCATCTTCGCAGATGAAAGTCGGTATGTTGTCGGATGTGGTTGGTCTGCCGGCGAAGTAGTAATGATGGGAATCGAAAACGATGTTTGCGTCAGAAGGGAAATACGGCGACCAGAACGTCTCGGGACGAAAGCTGCCTTGTACCATGACTGGAATCTTGGGGTTGAGAGCTGCGACTCGGGAGAGGACGCCGTTGATAAACTTTGCAACCCAAGCAGCACCATTGATGCTAAGTGCATCCGGCGTACCGAACTTGGAGAAGTCGCGGTTGTCCACTGGCTCGTTCAGGGGTGCAATGGTGTATGACTGAGGAAACCCGGAGGTTTGAACATACTGAACGACGGCATCTATGGTGCGGTATGAATATTCCAGGGCGGTTTCGTTGTTGAACCACCCATAGTTGCCGTCCTTCTCTCCAATACCCAGGCCGTTGAGCCCACCTGGTAAGGAGTGAACATCGACGATGACGTGCATATTGTACTTTGTGATGGCATATGTCGCAATGTTCTTCAAGAATTGAACTTGGTTGCCGGTGTATAATTGGGAGCCAGGAACCTTGATCCAAGCAGCGTAGTGTGTCGGGATGCGGAGGATGGTGACACCAGCTTTGGCGAGCTTGTCAATGTCGGCGGGCTGGAAATAGGTTGCATAGCGTCGTTCCAGGACCGGGCCACATTGCGAGCCAAGACGGACGCAAAATCCCCACTCGTCGGTGGTATTGCCGCCGTACTGACTCCAGAACCCGGCGTCTAGGACGGCTTCTTGAACTAGCCAGCCACCGAGGTTGACTCCATTGGCCTTGAAGGTCTTCCAATCAACATAATTCTGATTTGGAACAGCGAATGCGCTGACGAGAAAGAGGCCTAGGAAACTTAGGATATTGGACGTCTTCATCTCGGTGATGATGTCTGGTAAGTGACAAAATTGATTCAGAGAGGCAGCTCAGCTTAGTAAGGAGGCACAGAAAAGTTGTCCAAGGGGTTGGTTTTCGAATTCTAGTCCTCGGAGCTCAGAACGGGATTAAATAGTAAAATATGGTGAAGTCTAAGACATCTAATTACATGGTTATTGGATCAAGCCCCCCGCAAGAAAATACAACACGACTGTCATAAACATCCATAACCTTCTTAGCTCCGTCACTCTTTGACCCGAGATCTGAATTGAGTCCGGTCTTGTATACTCGTATTACTAGACAATAAGAATGTGCCTCCCCCTCCTAATGAGGTTATTAGGCCTTGCCGGTTAGACCCCGTTAGTTTAGGGATAGCTTAAGGGGTATAAGGAGGGGGACTAAGTAATAAAGGAGTAGCTTAGGTATATATAAAGCATTAGTAATATACTTCAAAAAAAGAGTAGATTTTAATAATTTATTTTTTAAACTTTAAT